TGTAGGTCTCCGTTAGCTCTCTGAGTGGTTTTCTACTTATGTATTTTGACGTTGTTTTCTATAACACAATGATCAGTGTCATACAAAGAAAGTGCCAAGAGCATGCCTGATATTCTTTATAAACACGCATGGTAATATTTGGTGATAGATTGTGACTGGTTTACTTGGAAGCAATGTGGGTAGTATTTGGTAATAGACTGTGACTGGTGTTCTTGGAAGCAATGTGGGTAGTATTTGGTAATAGATTGTGACTGGTGTGCTCCGAAGCAATGTGGGTAGTATTTGGTAATAGATTGTGACTGGTGTGCTCCGAAGCAATGTGGGTAGTATTTGGTAATAGAATTGTGGCTGGTGTGCTCGGAAGCAATGTGGGTAGTAACTGGTGATGGATTGTGACTTTTGCGGCCGGAAGCAATGAAAAATATCAGAGAATTCTTTTCGAAATAGAACTCCCATAGTTTAATTAGAGAATCACACACAGATGGACGTCCTTAAAGATATTTGCAGAATTGGCCCTCTGTGTAAGGTGTCACGGTTTCAGTCTTGTCTAGAAATAGAGAAACAGGGCTAACGATCAGCTGCTGATGTTTTTCTTATTATATCATTATATCATCTTATTTTATCATCGCATTTTCAAAAGACTTGCCAGTTGGAAAGATAACTAACTACTTTCGCGTCACAATGGTCACAGGTAGCCCACTGTCAGATACTACGTTAATTTCACTGACTTTATGTCGTGTATACGGGTAGTCAGTAATTATAAACCGTCTATTTTAGCTTATTAAACAAACATTGGATATCGTGAAGACTTCTGAACGTTGAACAGTCAAGTCAGAGCCTTTCACATTTTCCTTTGTGTTTGGCTCACTAAGAAAATCCATCCCTTTAATACTAACACATCTCGTGGACTTTTACATTCCATTTTCATCGTGCTACAGTTAAATAACATTTAACTAAAAGTAAAGGCCAAGTGAAAAAAAAGTGTGGCATTTAATGAAGTTACCGTTATCAGGAAAGGTTATACTTCGGAAATATGGCATTAATTCACTTGATAGGTAAGGGGTGTGGATTAAGGTTGTGAGGAACGCTGCTAGATAAACAGAACAGTTACACTGTGCGGAACCAACTCCAAATATAAATAACAAAGCTAATATGAACATAAAGACTGACGATGAGAATAGTTCTGAATAAATTTGTTTGGAAATTCTCCATAAAGTCAAACTTCCGTGACTACAGATCCACCATAAGCACGAGCCCATCTTTGAGAAAAAACTGATGGCTTGTGAAGTCCTTATATTATTTTTCAGTTGTGGCACAATCTCTATGATAAACAACGTACTTAGTTAGTCTTTTTTAAGTTATTTTCTTACCCGTAATTGTATGTGTTATCTCATACACGAGTTAAAGTCGGATTGATTTACATATATATGAGCATCAACATATTTATGTCTTTAACTTTTGTCAATCGTTTTCATTGATGTAGGAGTTAAAACAGAGACTATTTGGGACAGGTTTTATGCTTTATTTCTTAGGCAATGACAAACATTTTGAAGATAAATAGGTCCAGACTAAGTTTCGAAATTGCATCAGTCTATTCACTCGGAAAAAGTCTTCCAAGCATTTGGTAGTATATGTGAGAGCAATTGTAAAGTANGTCCGTTTTTATTACAACCGTGACCCGTACCGTGTCTAAATGACATTATCAAACATTTCTTTATATATTCCAGAAACAGATGCTGCGGATAACCTTTATTCTGCAGTGTGCACAGCCGGATATGACGACATCAACCACGTGACCCATACCAAACAGATCCTTGCTCATATCATTCTAAATATCTTTTCTGCTTTTGCCCATAAATAGACCGGTGCAATTTGGAAACATATTCTGTATTACATGTATGAAATTTTTCAACGCTTATGCAATAAAATATGTGATGAAGATGTCATTTTGTTTTTAGTGTTTTAACCAATATAGATTGTAAATGTCCATGGGAATTATAAGCGTTTTTTTAAGAGAATCTTTTTTTAAAAGCTCACATACACAGGGATCATATTTATAAGCCCATCACAGAAATCCACAGAAATGTGTCATCATCGTGTCTGTTGTTTCTTTTGCATATCTCGCGATTAAATATGTATCTGCAACATGGTACAGCCGTGGTTTAAAGACATGTTGATGTTAATGACAAAAAACAGGGGTTTTATAAGGTTTGACAACCACTTTAGACAACCACTTTCGTCAAGAGAACTGTTGTATAATATTTCTTTAAAATATGCCAACACATGCCATGCCAGAGTTTTTGACAATAGGACTAAATAACTGTTTCGGCATCAAAGAGACCCACTAAAGACCTTGTATATTTACATATGTAAGACAGAATAGGCTTATTTTTCTTAACTAAAATTTCAAGCTTCTAAGTTTTGCCATGGCCTGGCGAAATACAGAAACACTCGAAAGTGTTTTTATTTTAAAAAATGACCTTAACTGACTTTATTCTAAATGCTTGTAAAAGTTAAAAGAAAGTTATCCCAGCAGGCAAACGACATTGATTTTGAACCTCCCTCTTTGAAGTACTCATTGTAAATGCAAGAGTTTTTGAAATAAGGACTCTATAAATAACTGTTTCCGCATCAAAGAGACCCACTGAAGGCACTGTATATTTACATATGTAAGACAGAATAGGTTTATTTTTCTTAAGTGAAATATCAAGCTTCTAATTTTTGCCATGGCCTGGTGAAATACGCAGACACTCGAATGTGTTTTTATTAAAAAATCACCTTAACTGATTTTATTCTGAGTGCTTGTAAAAGTTAAAAGAAAGTTATATTTTAACGATAGTACAAGCACGTTAAGATAACATGTATGAATTAATTATTTAATTACCAGATTACCAATATCAAGCACGGATCGTTATGGCCTACGTCAAGAAAGACACAGTGTATGTCTTTGCAATTGTCTATATATACTTTCTAAAAAGTTTCTCCAAAAAACTCTGATTCTGAAAAAAGTAAACTTTACAAGTGGTATTGAAAACCTACCAATCACAATAGAACACCCGAAGTTTCCTCCAAATAACAATAAAAAAGAATATACTTTTATGCCGTTTCCTTTGTGTAGGTCTGCGTTAGCTCTCTGAGTGGTTTGCAAGTTATGTATTTTGACGTTGTTTACTATAACACAATGATCAGTGTCATACAAAGAAAGTGCCAAGAGCATGCCTGATACTCTTTATAAACACGCATGGTAATATTTGGTGATAGATTGTGACTGGTGTACACGGAAGCAATGAGGGTAGTATTTGGTGATGGATTGTGACTGATGTGCACGGAAGCAATGTGGGTAGTATTTGATGATAGATTGTGACTGGTGTACTCGGAACCAATGTGAGTAATATTTGGTAATAGATTGTGACTGGTGTGCTAGGAAGCAATGTGGGTAATATTTGGTGATAGATTGTGACTGGTGTGCTAGGAAGCAATGTGGGTAATATTTGGTGATAGATTGTGACTGATGTGCTAGGAAGCAATGTGGGTAATATTTGGTGATAGATTGTGAATGGTGTGCTAGGAAGCAATGTGGGTAATATTTGGTGATAGATTGTGACTGGTGTACTCGGAAGCAATGTGGGTAATATTTGGTGATTGATTGTGACTGGTGTACACGGAAGCAATGTGGGTAGTATTTGGTGATAGATTGTGACTGGTGTACACGGAAGCAATGTGGGTAGTATTTGGTGATAGATTGTGACTGGTGTACACGGAAGCAATGTTGGTAGTATTTGGTGATAGATTGTGACTGGTGTACTCATAAGCAATGTGGTTAATATTTGGTGATAGATTGTGACTGGTGTACTCGGAAGCAATGTGGGTAGTAATTGGTGATGTGACTTTTGCGGCAGGAAGCAATGAAAAATATCAGAGAATTCTTTTCGAAATAGAACTCCCATAGTTTAATTAGAGAATCACACACAGATGGACGTCCTTAAAGATATTTGCAGAATTGGCCCTCTGTGTAAGGTGTCACGGTTTCAGTCTTGTCTAGAAATAGAGAAACAGGGCTAACGATCAACTGCTGATGTTTTTCTTATTATATCATTATATCATCTTATTTTATCATCGCATTTTCAAAAGACTTGCCAGTAGGAAAGATAACTAACTACTTTCGCGTCACAATGGTCACAGGTAGCCCACTGTCAGATACTACGTTAATTTCACTGACTTTATGTCGTGTATACGGGTAGTCAGTAATTATAAACCGTCTATTTTAGCTTATTAAACAAACATTGGATATCGTGTAGACTTCTGAACGTTGAACAGTCAAGTCAGAGCCTTTCACATTTTCCTTTGTGTTTGGCTCACTAAGAAAATCCATCCCTTTAATACTGACACATCTCGTGGACTTTTACATTTCATTTTCATCGTGCTACAGCTAAATAACATTTAACTAAAAGTAAAGGCCAAGTGAAAAAAAAAAGTGTGGCATTTAATGAAGTTACCGTTATCAGGAAAGGTTATACTTCGGAAACATGGCATTAATTCACTTGATAAGTAAGGGGTGTGGATTAAGGTTGTGAGGAACGCTGCTAGATAAACAGAACAGTTACACTGTGCGGAACCAACTCCAAATATAAATAACAAAGCTAATATGAACATAAAGACTGACGATGAGAATAGTTCTGAATAAATTTGTTTGGAAATTCTCCATAAAGTCAAACTTCCGTGACTACAGATCCACCATAAGCACGAGCCCATCTTTGAGAAAAAACTGATGGCTTGTGAAGTCCTTATATTATTTTTCAGTTGTGGCACAATCTCTATGATAAACAACGTACTTAGTTAGTCTTTTTTAAGTTATTTTAGAACCCGTAATTGTATGTGTTATCTCATACACGAGTTAAAGTCGGATTGATTTACATATATATGAGCATCAACATATTTATGTCTTTAACTTTTGTCGATCGTTTTCATTGATGTAGGAGTCAAAACAGAGACTATTTGGGACAGGTTTTATGCTTTATTTCTTAGGCAATGACAAACATTTTGAAGATAAATAGGTCCAGACTAAGTTTCGAAATTGCATCAGTCTATTCACTCGGAAAAAGTCTTCCAAGCATTTGGTAGTATATGTGAGAGCAATTGTAAAGTACAAATCACACGGCTGGTGTCGTCATATCCTTCGCTGAACGCTGCAGAGTGAAGGACAGGTGCATTTTCAGTGCCTGGAATTAAAAGAAAACTTCGTTTAGATGGTCATAGAAGAAAACGACAGCTATTTTGTGTTAATTATCATTTAACACAGATTGTATTATATGGTACCATAAGCAATAGTCCTCCGTGCAAAATTTGTCAAATATACATGTATTTGTATGTACACATACCAGTATGTGCAATCACCTCTTGTAGTTAGGGCCTATATCTTCAGTTATTCAAACACAAACACGTGTATAAGTATGTCTAACATAACACTTGCAGCAAACATATGTAATGCTATTAAAAAACGCAAAGAGTACTGAGAAGTTATTCATTCCTTTGTCGTCTTTCTATAGTAATGGGAACAATTATTCTGCCTTATTACGAAGATGAGTTAGAAAAGGTACAAAAACATTCAAAAATTTTATAATGTTTATACCTGAATGTCATACATAATTTTCATACTTTTTTAGTTGGAGAAACCAGATTTTACATGTACTAGGTAAAAAAAAAGATACAGTAAATTATGTAACAAAATAAAAATGTCAACATTAAACTCACGTTGGGTTATAAGGCCTTGGTACGTATCCAGTGTATCCGTTCCTTCTGTTGTAGTTATACCCTACCCCTGCATAGCTGTTGTAGCCGTAACTGCGATATCCGCTGTTGGTGCCATAGTCGTCTGGTTTATAACCATATCCATATCTGTCTGGTTGATAGCCGTAGTAATTAAGTCCTAATTCAAATGATAAAAGACAACTTCTCAAATCCTACGTTTCAAATTACTTTGACTGCTTAAAGAGGCCTTATCAAAACAGAAACCTATAGTTTTCAATATAAAAAATAAACCCCACAGGTTTTGTCTCATTTCTAATATCCCGATTTTGTTGTATAAGCCTTAGGGCCTTTACAACTGGTCATGTATTTTGAGGGGGAAATGGACTAGCGGAGAAGACTGGAGAACGACCTGTTTAGCTATGTACAATACCTATAAAGTCAAAAGCGGCAAAATACTATTTGAAAGCATTATCAACGCCTAAGTAAGTCCAATAGTATCCAAGTCCCATAGTATTTTAAAAAATCATAAGAAAAATCGAAATTTCCCGAAACAATATTTACATTAGTAAAAAAAAAACATGGTCGTCCAGATTGTTTACTGAATCTAAATGCACCATAAGATGAACTGTCTGTTGCAGCTAGAATTCACAACATGTATGGATCCTTCACTAATCTCTCTTTCTCTCTCTCTCTCTCTCACCTTTGACCAAGACTTTCCCAATACATGGCGGCTGCCACGGTCAGGAGAGCAGCGAATAGAACGAACTTCATCATCTTGGCCTGAAAAGAGATGTCGTCTGCGGACTTTAGGAGTGGGACTCGGACCTTGACGGACGTCGAAGTCTGTCAAAACTTAACCAAGGCAGCTATTTCATAACGTCCCAAAATACAAAACGAATGCGTAATTATTGTATTTTGGAACCGAATACTTTGCCTTAAGATATGTGTGAAGGTAGTAATGGCTAAATAGGACACACGTGAAATGCATTATCATTTACTTTGGTTTCAGTTACCAAGTATCTTCAAAGTTGGCAAGTCACTCATTCATTCAGAAGTTACGACAGGTGAGGGTAAGACATATTTACGAGTGTTTCATTAGATAAGAAGCGCCTGGGGCACAATGGAAACGCTTTGATAGACATAATGGGCATACTCGGGGTTGGTGCCATACGTACTTGTAAGCTTCAAGGCGGTAGATAAATCGGATGGAAAAGAGTTGTACAAATAGTCCAGCGCTCCCCGTGACCACACGTGCATTGTGCGTCCGCCAGTGATCATTATAATTCTGTTCATGAAATAATGACTACTGGCGGACGCCCAATGCACATGTAGTCAGTGGGAGCTATTCTTGAAGGAGGGGGTGTCGTTAAATAACGCCTAAGTCAAATTAAAGCATAGAATGCATTAAAGACTCTGCTAACTAAGAATAACTGTTAATGCATTTTATGCAACTGAAGATAGAAACGTTTTTCCACCTAATTTTTGTGATGATGGAATTGTTATAGGGGAGACCGGGGCTAGTTGGCCCAGTTAGACACTTTTGGCCTTGTAGAGCCAACTAGGAATGGGTTAGAGTAACAAAACCGTTTTCAAAGTAAGCCCCATGAACTAAGCCACGGGGCAAGTTGGCCCGAGGGTCGGGGCAAGTTGGTCCCCCTATACGAAAATGAAGTATATATCCCATGTAAACGCCTTGAAATACATTTTTATACATTTTTAATTTATTAAATTGATTTTTGAGAGTCTTTGATGAATAAACAGTTCAAATGAGGCAGATTTATTGAGGTTTCCGTACGTCACGTTGTGAGGAGGGGGGGGGGGGGGGGTATGTGTTGCAAGAACCAAAAAATCTATCAATAAAATTTGTTTTGTTTAAATTAAGAATAAATTAATAATGTTATAAAGCAGGTTTTTAATGAATGAAAACGAATAATAAATTTACGTTTTAAAAGAAAGTAACAAATTCAGTTTTAAACCAGTGAGTTTGTTTCAAGAATGGGAGGGGTGGAAAATCCCCTTGGGGCCACATATAACACTATAAATACAATAAAATCACCTTACAATGAATTAAGGCAAATCTAAGGAAAGTCCAATGGATTTGCTGTCTAATACATACAATCAATAGAACATTTCTAATATAAATTTTCGAAAAGACACCAGAGAGCAAATAAAAAAAAATCAATCAGACGGTAAACACCGGCTAGCTTTGTCAATTTCACCAACTTGTTTATTTCAAGAAGTTACAACTTCTTGTTTATTTCAAACAGCGTTGCGCGCAAAGGATTGTGGGTAATATGAGGGTCCAACTTGCCCCGAGTCAAGGGGGCCAACAAGCCCCGGGTGCACATTATTTATTTTAAGGGATGGCAGCCATTTATGGTGCTAGAATGAGCAACGATGATACATCTTTGTGAAACTTGAAACAATGAGCTTCAGTTTGATGCCCTATACATATCTTATATTCGATCAAAAGCCTATGAAAATAGATTTTTAAATCTCTTAAACAAAATTACTTTTAGGTGCAAAAATAGTTTATTTGGACTCACCGCTTAATTAAAACTTTTTTAACGGCCGACACTTCCTTAGCATTGTAGGCTACGGTCACTTTACAAGTGTATGTGGCCAATTTCTTTACCTCGTAGTTACTTTTTCATAAAATGACGGGGGGCCAACTTACCCCGGGGTCCAACTAGCCCCGGTCTCCCCTAACACATGCAAGTCAATCCTCTTTCTCTCCCCTCCCTCCCTCCCTCCCTGTCTCACTCACAAACATACACTCTCTCTCTCTCTCCCCCTCTCTCTCTGTCTCTCTCTCCCAAACGCACAAACACACACTCTCTCTCTCTCAGTTCGTGTTTTTGTGTTTTTCGATACTTCATTATCAAATAGATGCGGCTATGTTCCATTTCCACATAGGCAATGCTTTAATAAACTAGTAGAGGTGAATGAATCTTAATCGCATACCAGCCCATCTTTCACACATATGGGAATAAAGTATCGGCTATAAAAAATGTCCCTTTTGTTTTTTGGTTTTATTTTTATCTCATTTGCTTGGAATGAGGATTGCATAATACACTGCATTAAAAAACATTCCTGGCAATATGAATGTTTTTTTTTTACGTCCCTGTGTATGTGTGTGTGCGTGTTTGTGTGTGTGTGTTTGTGTGTGAGAGAGAGAGAGAGAGAGACAAAGAGAGAGATTTTGGAGGCGTCCGCTTCAACTATATATGCACCAATCTTTTCCATCCAATTCACGTACCGCCTTGAAGCTTACAATAACGTATAATTGATGCCAACCCGGTTACGCCTATCGTCTGCCATAAATTGTAGTGCTGCAATAAACAATGTCTTTTCAGTTTACCCCAAGCACTTTTTATCACTCGTAAAAGTGTCCTGACCTGAGTGACTTGCCACCTTTGTGATGAGAAGACTATCCGTTGCTAATGAAAAAAAAAAAACATGAGACCTATTGAAAATTACCACTCAACTGCTTCTTCTTTGATAGTATGTTATTGGAAGTCTCCTTTTCTTGTAACAATGAAGTAGGGCGGTGTTTGGGCACATTTTCTCCTCTTGTCTAAATTTCTTTAGAATTTGGAAAAAGACAATTAAGGTTTGCAGCGGTAACAGAAGTGGGGATATTGGAGGTCTCTTTACATTTTAAGACATGTATGAGGATTTCAGAAAGCTCACCCATCTGTTGAAAAATTATATTTCTTGTAGAGAATAATAATAATAAATTTATTTTAAGTCTAAAATCCATTTTAAATGTTCAGTAGACTTTACATAAAATACCATAAATAATACTACATAAAATATCATAAATAAAATCTAGGTAAAACAGCCATTATTCCATACAATTAAATGCAATTAATACAAGATTTATAAAACAAATTAAGAGTTAATCAAAATATTTCCTAAAAAGGTATGTTTTGAGTTCTTTTTTAAAGGTATTGGTAGACTGAATTGCTCGGGTTTCCAGCGGTAATAGATTCCATTCCTTTGGACCTGCAGCTTTAAAAGATATATCACCATAGGTTTTTAATCGCATTTTTACTGGGTTGAGTCGCAATTGGTCCACAGACCGCAGATTTCGCATTGGAACATAGTGACTAACTAATTCATTGATGTAGATTGGTGCCAATCCATAAAAAGCATCGTGAGTAAAAACTAAAAATTTGAATAAAATTCTGGCTTGTAGAGGTAGCCAGTGTAAACTTTTTAAAACTGGGGAGATGTGTATGCTTGTGGATGTCCGAGTTAATAATCTGGTCGAAATATTTTGAATACGCTGCAGTCTGGCAATTTGTTTCTTTGGACAACCGTATAAAATGGAGTTGCAGTAATCTAATCGAGATATAACTAAACAATTTATGACTGTGGCTGCAGCAGAGTCAGACAACTGATTGCAAATTGCACTTATGTTTCTAATGTTAAAAACCGCTGACCTGCATACACTGGCAATATGTTTGTTCATACAAAGCGATCCATCTAAAAATACACCAAGATTTTTTGCATAGGTTGTTGGCTTAATAATGCTTGATCCAATTTTGAGCTGAATTTGTTGTGCTATCATACGATTATGTGGCTGACTTATTACCAAAAGTTCAGACTTTCCATCGTTAATTTTCAACTTATTACTAATCAGCCACCTGCGAAGATCGTCAATACATTTAGACAATATATCAATAGATTCTTTTGGATTTTCTAGATTGCAACAAGTAAAAATCTGTGTGTCATCAGCATAAATATGATAGCCAATGTTATGATGTCTTAGCATGGCCCCAATTGGTAAGGTATACATGCAAAAACAAGAGGTCCTAGAACACTGCCTTGTGGCACACAAAAAGCTATTTCTGAAACATTTAGATGATTTGGACGGCATGTTTTATCTTAGTGTTTGTGTGTGTGTGTGTGTGTGTGAGAGAGAGAGAGAGAGAGAGAGAGAGAGAGAGTCTAACTGAAGTCACCACACCTATCCATCAGATTCAGGTACCAGTATGCCTTAAAGCTGACACGCACATCTTATTGGCACCAACCCTGTTAAGTTAGTCTATCAGCTGTAACAAACAACGTGTTTTAAATCCACCCAAGGCAAGGGATTGTTATCTAATGAAAAAGTCGTAAAATATAGTGTCCTAACCTGTTGTTACTTCTCACCAGAATAAATAATA